AGGGCCTGGTAGGGGTATATGCGAAAGATGACTGGTCCAATTGGGGAGTGGGGTGTTTCTGCGAAGTTTCAAAACTGTCATAGGGGCATTTTGCCGTACCCAGGCCTGTTAGGGGAATCTGATGGACTACCTCAACTCTCAGGGGCTCTTCAACAATTTTCCTAAAAAAGAAACTGAGCAGCGATTTTGTACCCACCTTCCTGCACATGTGGCTAGCTGGCTCCCAGGCAAGGTCCCACCACTAGGAAAGGGGATTGGATCAACCGACCTGAATCTGTGGTCCCCACCACTACCAAAGGGGGTTGGATCAAACGACTGAATCTGTGGACGTGTTTGTGGAGAGGTGCACAAAATGGCAAATGGTCTGCTTTCCGGCATCTCTTCATAGAACAAGTCCGGATATGGACATGCTTGCGAATGATGACCTGGTTTGCGGCATTTCTGCATAGAACATGCCAGATTCAGACACTTAATCCAATCTTTTTCTGCATTTCTGCATAGAACATGTCCAGATTCAGACACTGAACCCAATCTTCTTTGCTACGGGTTGTGGGACCTTGCCTCGGACGAACAAAAGGGAAAGGGAAAACAGGAAAGGTATTGCGCTAAACTGTATATACCATATCAATGGTATCAAATGCAGAAAATGTGCCAGCAGGGAAGGAGATGTGGAAACATGGAATGGCGTGTGGAAACAAAGGGAATTAATAGGTTGAACCCCTTTCCATACTTCGTTTTCACTTTATGCTGAAATGCCTCTCGTGTCCCCCCCCCAATTCTTGTTTTTCTTTTTTCTGAAATTCCTGTGGCTCCGTAGAGAATGCCCCAGATACTACGCTGATCAGAACAGATACTAGAGTTGTTGATTTTCTTATTTAAAAAAGTGACGGCCTTTATTTGAGATATGATCATAGATCTGCACAGGCCTCTGAAAAAAAAAAAAAAAAGGTCACTGAACTGACCATCCCTAGGTAATTCAGAATCGTAGTGTTTTATTCATCTGCTGCCAAAGGAGTTTGAACTCAGGTCTGTGTATTTCAACAGTTCAGGGGTGTACCAACTGGGCTAGGCCAGTTGGTATTTGGGTTGATTTTATCTTATTAGCCTAAGGGCCAAAGAAAGATATTAAAATTTTAATGCCTCTCTCAAAATCCACCTGCTGGGGTCCTTTGGGACCCATTACAATTGAAACGATACAGAGAAGATTGATTTCTTGAGCCCTGCACACCCATGGTTGACACGTGTTAATCGAGAAATATTCCAAATTAAAAAGAAGAAGAAGAAGAAGAATAAGAAGAAGAAGGGTATTGAATGCCTCTCTCCAAGTTTCACCTTTGGAGAATTGTCACAGCCTGGTGAAGATCTTGCACACCATACTGTCCTCCTCCCTACGTGTGTACGTCCATGTTCGTTCCTCCGTACGTGTAGGTTTGTTCGGGATCCGAATCCGAGCAAGGGAAAGTAGTGTGGATGAATTGGAGCAAAACAAGAGTGTGGCTGGATTGGATTATTTTACTGAAATGTTGAAAGCAAGACAATCACCGCTACTTCGCTTGAGCTCACCCATCTATATACGACCTTGTTCACCCGAATACAACCTTAGGCTAGGGTCATTATTGCTGTCTTCAGGCTGAAAGAGACCCCAAAACAGCTATAAAAACCGTACGTTGTATTTGGGTGAAGAAGGTGGTCCGATCCAATATCAAGAAGGTAGTCCGATTCAATATCGCTTGGTTTTCAGTCCCGATTCGATGTAAGCATATTAGACTAGGAGTCACTGTACTCCCCCCCCTCCCCCCCCTCCCCTCTTCCTTATCTTAACAGGAGGGAGATCTCTCAAAATACAAGAAAAAACAAATCTCATTGAGCAAATGAAGCAGAAAATCAACAAATGAGCAAATGGGCAAATCGGCAACAGGGCAAATGAGAGAAAGGGCAAAAGCTTCTTTGTGTATATGTACTAGCAATCAAAAGGAATCAGCGTTTGGGGCTTGTTAGACACTCCTTGGGCACATAAAATCTACAAGGACGTTATCGTTCCACCTATCCTCGGGGAAGGAATTGGAAAAAACAAGCGAAAACATTTCCTCGAGGAATCGTTGTAGCATCCTTGTGGCCCAGCCATTTCGTGCCCTAGTGCAAGGGACCTCGCAAGGGACCTCGCAAGGTCCCTTGTAGCCCAAGGATCCGCAATAATTGGAGCAACGAAGGCACGCGTCGTCGACAACTTTCTTTTTTCGGCTGGTCCATTGGTGTTCCGCCAGGGGGTGCACGAACATTTTTGGGCCTCAACGTTGGGATTTCAGGCAACGGGTCGCCAACAGTTATCGTTGGAGGACGATCGTCGTTGGGTTTCGTCTTCAATTTGGGCTGTCATCGTGGTGTGTCCTGCCAGCTTCGTTGTGACGCCCAATCTCACGCCCAGCGAGACTTCCTGTTTCGGAGTATTAGTGGGCCTGGAAGTGCGGTGTGCCAAGGATTTTAGGAAAGTGTGGGTGGAGTCCCAGGTCGGAATTGGAATCTTCGGCGTCAAGTTTCAGGGGTAGAAGAGCAAGTTTCCCATTTTAGCTCAGAATCAGGGCGACCGCGGATCTCGCGGCTTGGGTTGGGGATGTATCTGATGTACAGGCGGAACGCTATGAGTATCTCTCTAAGAGTGCATGTACCGTCGTCGGCCAATGCACGTCTCAGAGTTTGATGAGGACGGCCGTAGTCGGAGACTGTGCTCCCGACGCGCTGCTTCGGAGCGGGTACGTCGGACGAACCCTGCTTTGCGATACTCGTTGTATTGCTGACACTCCGAGCACGGTGTGCGGGACCAGTAACGAGCTATGGAGTCCCACAGAACAACAGTTAGGTTGTGATACGGGAGAAGGACGTAATAGGGAGGAAAACGGGTAGAAATAGCGACGAAGCGTGGGGTCCAATAATACTGTCTATTGCAGGTGTCGGGATAGTCCGGAATCCGAGAATCCTGGTTTATTGCCCATTGGAAATAGCCCCCGCACAGTCGATCGTTCTCAGTCTGACAGGGGTAGTAGGGATTCCGTGAGTTTCTTCGCCGCCTAAGTTGTTCCCCCTCCCAGTACGTCCGATACTCTGGGTTCCTTAAGCTCTCGCGGTCAGTGACACAGAAGGGAGTTTCCATAGCCATATCCTACTTAATGGACTTTAATTGCACACATTTACTATCTTGTCGCGCGGATAAGTCGGTGATAGGCGCTTTTGTTCGTGCGTCGGTCTATCCCGTATGCATGCAATTATTCTCCTTACGCAAACATCATCATTCCAAGTGAGATCCAACCGTTACATACATATTCATACCATCATGCAACAAAGAAGCGAATCAAAGACCAATACATCATATCATTCATGCAATCATGCATGAACTAAGAGCAAGTGGTCAGGCAAGACATGCGTCCCGAGCGTATCCGGCCAGATCCGGGAGAACCAAAAACTCGCGGATCTTGGTGCACGCAACGCAGATGGATACGAGAAAGTGACGAAATTTGAATTAAGCTAACGCTATTGAACAAAACAAAATTGGACATGAAAAACAGCTCGAGAAAAGAGGCACGAATTCGTTCATCGGCATGCATACATACATACGAAACAAAAAATTCGAGATGATTTACAAAGAAATCTAAAACTGTCGCAACAAAAGTGGCCATGTTGGAGTCTAAATTACACAGAAGTTGGGAAGAAAGACATTGTTCCACCATATCCCGGTCCCTCTCTCTCTCTCTCTCTCTCTCTCTCTCTCTCTCTCTCTCTCTCTCTCTCTCTCTCTC